TTTTCGGTTTTTTCACATAACAAGATAAGTTACTGATTTCACAATATCATTTAATTTTATTTTAACAAAGCTTGTATGGATTCAAGCCCTATATTTAGTATCCCACTTAGAATCTTTCATATTTTACAAAACTTATGAACACACATTTCTCTTCTTTTGAACACCTAAGCATGTGTCAGTTGTTTTTTTTCTCTATGAGTATGTCTTTGTGTTTTCTCTAGCATATGAACTGCTGAGTCCATAGGAGCCAAGAATTATCCATTAGACATAGAATTTAGTAGGGCTCTAAGTAATCAGACACTATAATTGAGGATTAAAATTCAATTGAAGGAAGTACTTTTGGCTGGAGCTGTGAGTTTGAAGATGTTTAGTATGGTTGCCAGTCACTAAGTACTAATCATTGCTCTTCCCAGTCATTGTGATAAACTACTGCCCTGACTCCCTCAAATCCTGATGCTGAGGTGTGGGATACTACCTGTTCTTTGAGAATCTCTGGGACATAAAATAGTATTAGGGGCTATACTAATTAAATTTTTTCTCAAATAAACATCAACAAGGGCAAAAATAAATAATGGCATAAACCAGATAGTTTATTTCCCTTTTCCATAGATAAGTTTGGAGATAAGTAGACTAGGGTTGATGTAGTGGCTTTATTGTTATAGAGTTCATAGTGCTTTTATGTTCTCCTCCATCATTCTCAGGACATTGTTTCCATTCCCAAGGATCTTGAGGGTGTCTGGGGCTCTAGTTGTTACTGACATTCTAGGTAATGGATAAGGGAGGGGGCGGATTAGATAAAAAGGACATTCTAACTAAGGCAGCTCCTTTTTAGTGCTACATTCTTATTTGTGATCTCCGGATGGTTGGTGTCTTAGCTTGGCCTGCCATTAAAACAACCACAAAATCACAGACTGGGTGCCTTAAAGAACAGAAATTTACTTCTCACAATTGTAGGGGCTTGGGAATCTGAGATCAATGTGTCAGCAGAGTAGTTTTATTCTGAGGTTTCTTCACCCACAAATATCTGCTGTCTCATTTGGGTGCTCACATGATCTCTTTTTTGTGCATGCTGAAATGGAGCTGTTTGGTGTTTCCTCTTACAAGGATGCTAATCTTGGATTGGGGCCCTACCTTCATTACCTATATATAGGCCATATCTTCAATACAGCCACATTAGAGGTTAAGGTTTCAACATGTGAATTTTGAAAAGGAATACAATTCAGTCCATAAGTAGTCACAGAGTACCAGCCTTTTAGCTGAGCGTATTGCTGCCCAAATAGAGGATCCCATCAGGAGAGATAAAAAGGAGAACAGATATGAGGTGGCAGCAGGTGGTTAGTTATTGCCACAGGTGTTCTTAGCTTCCTAGGTTGACAATGAGGAGCTTGCAGTTAGAATACTGTTGGTTATTCACTGAAGAAAAGTAAGGGTGATCTGTATAAAATTGTGCATAGAAAATTATGAAGAAAAAAATGAGGGATATTTGGGAATTATTTTTTGATAAAATGCAGTCCCATTCTCAAGAAAAAGTGTTTTCCCGAAAAGGTGTTAGGAAACTTTTTTCTCTTTAAGAGTATAAACCTAAAAGTGTATAAAATTTACATCTTAGCTGATTTTTACTTTTTGCCAGTCTTCTCAGTTGGTGTATTTTCTGTTGTACATATGCTTTCTTTTTGAGGCATCTAAAGTAGTTTAGGATAGAAACTGATTAACTGCTAGAGTTTAACAGTAGGGTTCATCAGGCTTCCAGATTAGGCATCCAGTTTTGTATCTGCTTGTCTTTCTTTGGAAGCCACTGTGGTTGGGCTGTTGATTCAGTTTGCTGGAAAAGTTGCTAGCCCAGTATGAATGAAGACTGTATGAATATGCTGTGGTGATGTTATAGCCATGGTATATTTTTCTGTGTGCTTTATAATTCTTTTTTCCTGTGTAAATGAGACACATGGAATCCTCTGTAGTAATCGTTCTTCTGTTCACCTTTTTCTTCTAAAAGCTCTACTCTGATAAAATTCACATGGCCTATAATTCCATTTTAGTTGTTATTAAAACTATTTACAGAACTGTATATCTAATATCTTACTCAACTTTTTGACATTTTCTTTAGCCCAAGAAGATAACTTTGCATCTCTTAGCTGTCAAACTGTTCACTTTCAAAATGAAAAGAAACTGCCAAATGTGCTGTACACACCTGTAGTCTCAGCTGGTTGAGAGGTGGAGGGATTGTTAGTTTGAGGCTAGTCTGGGCTGAGAAGTTAATGTGAACCATATCTTAAAAACAAAAGGGTTGAGTGATACCCAAGTGATACCATGTGTGCCTAAAATGCAGGTGGCCCTGGGTTCAATCCCAGTATGACACACACACACACATATGCAACAAATAAACCAGCTTAAGGCTTTATCTGTAAATTAAAGCAGACTATAGTAAGCTGAACTATTGGCAGAGGTATTCCAAAATACTAAACTTCATCTAATAATAGAGAAAATATTATATATTCTGTGATTTTTATGTAATAAAGAAGTATTCATTTCACCTCTCAAGAATGCTAGGAAGAAGTGTTTCATAACATAATGCAGTCATGAGAGTGACATCCTATCACTGTTGCCATATTCTCTTCGTTGGAAGCAAGTCATAGGTCCCACCCACACTCAAAGAGAGAAACCTATACAAAAGTATGAAACTAGGAAGGTGGAGACATTGAGAACCTCCTAGAGCTTGTCTGCCATAGTCCTTATATTAGTGAATACTTAAAAATGTTGCTTCCAATTTACAAATAATTTTAATTAACTTTTTTCAATTACTCTGTGGTAGGCTGGTGCTGTTATGTTTCATCAATGATTAAAGTCATGGTGCGATGCCGTTTACCTGCCAAAGTTGTAGAATAGTAATCATTATTTGTAGAATTAAAAAATACATGTATATATTTTTGGCAGTACTGGGGTTTAAACTTAGGCCTTCATGCTTGTTAGGCAAGCACTCTTCTGCTTGTAGAATTTCTTTATGTTAAACAGTGTCTTTGCTTAATCTGCCTACTTCATGATAAAGATTACTGAGAAATGTTTGTATTCTTACCTAGATATAATTTTTATCTTGAAAGGCCAGTTCTAGTTTTACTTCTACATAAATGGTCACTTAGGCCACTGCTGGCTGGATTTGTTGTAACTCTGGACACTAGGATTCAAATAAAGTGGGCGAAAGTGTTTTGAAGTGAAAAGCATTTGTATGAATGGAAGCTGATATTATGACTTAGCAATACTGTGATTTGAGAATTTGTTATTTGGAACAAATAACAAATAGAACTATATGCTAATGAGTTCAAAGATAATAATCTTTGAACTGAGTTCTGGTTATTTGTTTATTATTCATATTAGTATATATAACTACTCTGGAGGAGAGATTTTAACATTCTAAAATTTTGAGAATGTTAGTAGCTGCAGAAAACAGTTTATCCTAATGGGAGAAAACATTCTAGAATTTTGGAAGAAAAATAACCAGGCACATAAAGCTTTCTTCATTCATATCACAAGATGAGAGTTTGAAACAGATTCTGAACATTAACTATGAAATTGAAAAATGTAGTTGATATTCAGTGGATGCTGTATTTATATTGCACTGTCTAGCTTGGCATAGTTTGTTTCCACACATTGGGGTATATGTATGTGGGGGGAGACAGCTTGATTTTACATTTTTTTATTGAATTTGTTTTTTCTCAAAGCATGGTTAGACATTCATACTTTGATCTCCAGGTTGGAATTTGGGAGGTAATATTTAATACACATCTGTTATAAGTGAGCTCTTCTTTCCATGAGTAACTCATTTTTCAGCCTAGTGTTCTACATATTGAACAGAAGATGAAATTTTGTTCTTTTTTTTTAATTATCATATTCTTGTTGTACTGGAGAGACATTATGACGTTTACAAAAGTCCTTACAATCTATTTTAGTCAGATTCACCGTCTCCATCATTCTCCTTTATCCTCCATCTCCCCTTCTTAGACTATTTGCAGCAGATCTCATTTTTCCATTTTTATACATAAGTACATAACATTTCTACCATAGTCACCCTTCTTCACTCTTTCCTTATATCCTGCCTCCTCCCATTGATACCAGCCCCCAGACAGGACTTGTTTTACCTTCCTGTCTTTGGTTTTTGAGAAAGAGGGAAAAAAAAAAGAAGATGTTTTCGTTTGTTTAAGATATGTATACAGTGAGTTTCATTATGACGTTTCCATGTATATATGTATTATATTCCAAATTGACTCATCCTGAAATTTTGAATAGCTCAAGATAGATTTCCTCTTAGAGCTATTGGCTATTTATTTAACCTTTCTCCCACTTCATTGTGCTATTAACAAGAAAAGGAGGGACAGCATATGAAGATACTGTATATTAAACGTTGCTGGGATCACCTTAAGATATTTAAAAATTGTGCTTTCTGACTCCTGTATCCAGATATTTTGTTTTAATTGCTATAGGATGAAATATCTGGGCTTTGGAATTTGAAAAATCTCTCCCAGGTGATTCTCAGGTGCTGCAAACTTTGGGAACAACTTTACTAACTAAAGTTAGTAACTAAAGTTACTAACTAAAGGTTGAAGTCCTGGAATAATTAATGTTGGGTAAGATAGAGTAAGCACCTTTTGGAAATGATGCTTTTTAAGCTCTTGGGATGCTCATTTGATAATACAGATTTTCAGAGTTTGAAGAGGATCTAATATATAGAAATTAAAATATATAGGCAGTGTTAGTTTAATCAGTAAATGCAAATTTGATTTTTATAATTTTCAGTAATGCTATATCTACAGGATACCTAAATTTAGGTTTTTAAAAATTCAGTGTGTAAAAAAACAAAGTGGCGCAAAGAAAACAACCCAAAACCTGGAGATCAGACTGTTTAATTTATGAGAAAACAAAATTTCCCACACTTTAATCAGTGCTAGCTACTAAAAAAACGTTAAAACCTATTTAAAATGTGGAAAAATTGCTTCCCAATATTTTAACAGAGAGAGACTGAGAACACACAGCATTGAGTCATCAGGAAAACTGAAGATCTCCCCTGAACAACACTGGGATTTCACTGCAGAGGACTTGAAAGACCTTGGAGAAATTGGACGAGGAGCTTATGGTTCTGTCAACAAAATGGTCCACAAACCAAGTGGGCAGATAATGGCAGTTAAAGTAGGTGATGCCATGATTATTTTTGGTACTTTAATACATTAGGTGAAATTTTGTGGTGCAGTAATACCACTGTTGTTCTGTTCTTACATTTTTGGTAAATAGGGGTGCTTAAAAAATTGTGTCTCTTGATTCCTTGGGGATGTTTTGTGTAGAGGTTGTCTTGTTGGTGGCATGTTTTCTTTCTGTGGAAACATGAGTGTATGAAGTGTGCATGTTCATTGCACTTTTGGCATGATGCATTAACAGGTTTTAAACTTCCGGCCCTTCTACTGCCAAGGTGAGTTCAGGCTGGGCGTCTGCACCCTGGGAGCAGGGCAGTGCTGCTCTGAGCCAGGCGGGAGCTGGAGGAAGAGGCAGCACACTGGGCTGGGCAAGGTGCGGGGCTAGGGCTAACAGCAGTCTTGCTGAAGGTTTCTTGGAAACCACACACATGCTGTTGCCACTAACCTCAACCTTACTCGGTCCTGACCGGCTCGGCTTCTGTTTGTTTATTTCATCTCTACTCAGTACTGCCCTGTTCCCTGGTTTTAAAGTTGTATTGAAATGCATACTTTGTGAAATGCTGTCACATTCTGTCTTTATTGTGAGTGTCATGCCACTTACTATGTTCATTTAACAACAAAAAAGGCTGAAATGGAAATTTGGCCCATAGACTGTAGCTTGCAGGCTTTTGTTGGTGCCTGTGATGAACTGGTGGCATCTCTCTGACTCCTGTTGGGTTTATGTAATTGCACTTTATTTGTTTGTTCAGATGTTTTAACAAATACTTGTTCTGTGTAAGATATTTGAGTAAAATCAGCAATGCAAGAACAATTTAAAGAGAAAAAGGAAAAACAGAGGTAAGATGTGGCCATACCCTCACTAAACTTAAAATTCCTTTGGGAACAAATAACATCAGAGTTTACAACAATCAAGAATGGTTTTGCAGACAATCTAAGCTACTGTTAATCTGTTATTTTGAGAATTTGTCAAAGTGGCTTGATAAGATGAGGGCCCCAGGTTTAAACTTGACATTTGGGATTGGGTTTGTGTCACACTAATTTAAAATGCTTTCTATGTAGAAGTCTGTTGCAAGCAAAATCTTACTGTAACTATTTTAGTCTCTTTCATTGTTGAACATTTCTCTTTGTTTCTGGTCATGTAAAAGGAAAATGTTTTATGATTCCTTGTAGGCTTTTGGTTTTTTAACCATGTTGCTTGCAATGAGGGATAACTGGAGGCTTTTTTCTTAGGAAGATGTGCATATACACAGTACACAAAATTTTGCATACAGCCTTCAGAATTCTAAAGATGTACCTGCTGACACCTCTGCTCTGGATTATCCATTAAGATAAAATGTTTTCCTTGGAATGTGAGAGGGCTTCTCTGCTTGTGTTTTGTGTTCCTGCAGTGTAAATGGGAACTGGATCATTTTATTTAGACTCTTCTGGACGAGTGTTGAATTTTCATGTACTATCCATGTGTGACATCCAGATTCAGTAGGCTGGGTCTTTAGGGAAACTTTGCTATATACCTAAAGATCTAAACTCTTCTCCCAGATATGAGGGAAAGTATTTTTTTTTAAATTGTTGCAGCTTTTTTCACTTTGTGTGTGCTTAAACTATGTTGATTATTTTAGTAATATGAATAGACTTTAACCATGATGAAAAGGTTTTAAAGATAAGGAAAGTAGTTCATTTAAAACAGTTTTTTTCAGTGATTAATTTGATCATTTTTAGAGTTGTATAATGCTTTTGAAGGCTTTTAAGAGTGAAAATAGGAAATTATTGTTTAGCATTCATAATGTATATTTTATCAGTGACTACTATGAGGGCCTCAGTTGGAATGCTCATACAAATCCCAACTCTTAAGAAGTGCTAAGAGGCAGTCATGGGATCTATAGACTCATTACTGTCAAATCTGTACCTCTCAGGTGGTACTGTCTTTGTTTACTGCCTTACATAATCAAGGAAGCATAATTATTTGGGATGGGAGAGGATGGCAGTATGTATATCAGTCGACAAATAGATGGGCTGTATTATTGAGTTGCATGACTTTATTAATACTGGAAGAGTAAGTCCTTTTGTATTTAATAAACATTAAAATTTGTTACCAATTGATGATGAATGTCCACCATCTTCTGTGAATTTTAAAATGTCTTTATTGTCAGTTTCTTCAGAGAGGTGTAGTTTTTCATCACACCTATTAGAGTTCCCTTATCACTCAAGCACACAGACCAGATTGACAAGTATAATTATGCAAAAGCAATGTATGATTAAGGAGGAGTTAAACTTGGCATGTTACATTTAATGGAACAGTGAGACAATGATTCACATAGCTGAGAACTTCCCATTGCTCTTAGTGAAACACACTTTGAAATAGCTCTACATTAGCATTTTAATACATGCTTTGGGAATATAGAAGGATTACTTTATTAGCTGCTAAGCCTGTCCTGGAAATTATCCTTAACATTCACTTGCAGTAGCTGTACAAAAATCAACTGCGGAATTAGCCTGGGTTTTTTTTTTTTCTTCGTGTGTGTGTGTGTGTGTGTGTGTGTGTGTGTGTATTTCATCATTTTTAGTTTTGAGGAAGCCCTTCTCCAAATTTATCGTGCCATATTTAAGAAACTTTTGAAAAGGTGACTTCTTAGTTACCAGAAATAATTCTCTCAAAGACTTAATCTAAAATTCACTTAAGGTATAAATAAATCAGTTTCAGTGAAGCATATGTAAAACTTATGCTTAAGAACTTAGGGCTTCATGCTTGCTAGCCAGGTACTCTACTTCTTGAACCAAGTCTCTGGCCCTTCAAACAGTTTTTTCATGTGCAGCCTTAGGACAGTCTCCCAGGCAGCCAGTGAGGTTGTTGGTTAGGACCTAAGATGGGGACATTTTTAACCCCTCAGTTTTAATTTCACATAACCCAAGAAAGAGGTCTTTGGTGAATGGGAGTAATACTATCAGTTTGTCAGCCAGTGCCTGAATAACTGAGCTATAGGGCTGCCTAGGGCAAAGCCATTTTTAAAACTCAGGAAGGACAGCCATCAGCACTAAGTATCTACTCCTGACGTTCATCAGCATCTTCTACAAATCTAATGCTCTGTTTTAAAATTTAACTTTAAAAATGTTAAAATGGATACATAAAAATTGTATATGTTAATGGGGTAACATGTTTTGATACATGCATACATTGTGTAATATTTAAATCAGATTACCTGTACCTATCTACTCAGACATTTTTCTTTTATGGTGAAAACAAACTCTTTTCTTCTACTTTTTTGAAATATGTGGTAGGTTATCAGTATCTGTTGTCTTCCTGCTGTGTAATAAATAGCACACCAGAACTTCCTATTGTATCTAACTATAACTTAATACCCATCGGTCAAACTTTTCCCATCTGTCTCTCTTTTACTCTTCCTCACCCTCTGGTAGCCATCACTGTACTCAAGTTAATGAGATCAACATTTTTAGATTCCACAAGTGAGGGATGGTACGGTGCTTGTCTTTCTGTGCCTGGCTTATTTAACTTAATGTAATGATCTCCAGCTTCATCCATATTTTCATGACTTTCATGGCTGAATAGTATTCCACGATGTGTATGTGCTGCATTTCCTTTATCCATTCATCAGTTGATGGATACTTAGGTTATGTCCATTTCATGGCTATCCGTGAGTAGTGCTACAGTGAACATGGGGATTAATGGCCCATTTTGCATGTTGGTGGTAAAACCACTGAATGAAAAAATGAGATTTCAACAGGCTTCTCTGGGTAGCTGTTTACAAGGGTTAATTGCAGTGTGGTAAAGCTCAGAATTTAGATTCAGACTTAGAAGATGCAGTTAGGTTTAAGTTTCTGAGCTAGCGTTAGCGAAATTCAGGTCTGGGAGAAATAGCAATAGGACTTAGGTGATCAGAATTAAGATCACAAAGCAAATTCTAGGCACAGGAGAAAAGAGTGAGAAAGAATAGAATAGACACTGAAGTTGAGTGAAATTTCAAGCACAGATTGATAGCAGAAGGAAGGATGATGGACAGGGTTGTTCACCTGAGTCTACCCACAGTAAGTCCTGTATGCCTAGAATACGAGCTTTACTGTTGTTGTCAGGAAGACTTGTGCACATGAACTTATTAAAGCTATGTATGCACTTTTCATGTTTGCAGTCTATGAAAGAAAAACCAGGAAAGGGAAAGTAAGAATGCAAGTGAGAGGGAATGTGAGGGAATGAAGTTCTGTTACTAAAAATGCCAGGCAAATGAGTCTGGATTGTTGTCTGAAGGGTTAGTGCTGGAATAAAACTGCCATCTCATTGGAGAATGAAACTGGTGTTGGGTAAGTAGGTAAGGATGGAAATATGTTATGTTAATGTTGTGACTGTTGATTACTGTGATGACTTTTCAGTCCTCTGCTTGAGAAGTTACCTGGGTTAATCAGAAAAACAGTTTGGTTGTGTGAGGTTAGATGCATACGCAAGACTGAGTTAGCATGTGATCTTGTATGTGAGGGCTTCAGATGTTTTCTCTCTGTTGGTGATCTGCTTAGCCTATCTTGTTCCTTCTAACCTCAGCTCTCTTTGTCACCTCTTCCATTTCATTGGTCCAGGCCTGGTTACTTGATCTTTGGTATTTGGATTTTATTGTTCTTGATCTGGAATTCAGACCTAGTTTAACTGCAATGGTTGGTAGGAAGGACTACATCCTTTTGACAGTATCAGCCACCCCACAACTCAGTCCTTCCTTGTCCTCTGTTGATTAGGTAGGCCTCCCTTGGTGCAGATGATATGGCAAGAACGGGAAGTCAGGAATCAGAAAACTATGGCTTTGCTTGTTTTTCTTTCACTCTAGGGACCATGCATCCATTACTGAATGATATTGATGGGAACTATGATGACCAATAATAATTGGAGGAGGTTCATTTTAGTCTTTAAATATTGGTCTTGCATATTGTTCTGAAAGTCCTAGGATGATATTTGACAAGGGTGACTTTAAATTGGAAAAGCTCCTTTTTTGGTGGTATAGAGTG